GATGGGTGCAAAAAGAAAAAGTTATTCCATCGAGTACAAGAAAGGAATCAAGGAGGAAATAAGAATCTTATGGCGTTCATAAGAAAAAATAAGACATCACCTGAAAATAAGCCGTAATGTGTCTTTTGGAGCAAAATTAATATAAGACCCAGTCTTATTTTTGGAGAAACACAGTATAGGCAAAACGTGCAAGTGCCCTGTGCATCACACAGTTCTGCCAACAGTCTAATTCAAAGGTAGGAAGCCTTTGGGGCCATGGGAACCTTTGGCAACTTAAGAAACTGTCCTGGGCACCACTGCAAATGGTTGTTCTGGGAGCCCTGGTGAAGGACAAGTGACGTACTGGGTACAGGGTGGAAGTGGAACTGAGACCCAGTATACTGAGCAACTCCTCTGAACCAACCATTTTCAGGACCAACAAAAGTCTATTTCACAACAACTCCAGCTGCTGGTAAGAAAATGTGTGTGTTTTTAAGAAATGGGATAGAGCATTTTGGCGGGCATCAAGAAGGTGTCTGGACACCATGTTGCCTACTCTTGGTCTACACTTGGTTCAGCTATATCTGGAAAATGTACATATAGGCCAATTAACACAATCAGTTTTAGAATGGGTGCTCCCTTGTGCCTTATCACAGACCTGTGAATGACAGTGTAGCTGCAAATAAGCTTTAGCATGCACCAAGATTGTAATGTGATTTGCATGTAGCATTCCATCCTACTTCGTAGCAGCACATAAAGTATCAAGTTGGAAAGGAAGCAGGAGGTAAAGTAATTATATGGTCACCACACCACGGCTAGACTGCCATGCAGAACCCACATCTCATCACACTACAAGGGAAATATGAATTGACTCTGCGTTTGGCAAAATGTGTCAAATGCAGTGTAGGCTGTTTTGTGGAGGAAACGAAAGGGTATGTGATTTCTGCTTTTACAAAGATGGGACTGGATTTATTCTAACTAATAGAAATTTAATGCTTTCCTTGGTCTAGGCCAATGATGTTGAACCTTTTAGAGACCAAGTGCCCGAACTGCAACCCAAAACCCACTTATTTATCTCAAAGTGCCAACACTACAATAAAACCTGAAAACTGAGGTTTTAGTTTAGAAAAAACACCACAAGGCCAGTCCAAGCAAATGTATATATCCTTGGCAGTGCACTGACCAGTCATGCAAAAGCTCAGACGAGACGTGGCAAATGAGTCGCGGCCCGTGACGTCATTGCCTGGTGCCACTACTCCTTTCCAAGCATAGGCATGGCCCTTATGTGCACTGTTATTTGATGCTCGGCTGCTGGGCTGATGCTGGGGCGACTTGGCTCACATGCCGACAGAGAAGGCTCTGCATGCCCACTGTAGCATGTGTGCCATATGTTCGCCATCAATGGTCTAACCCTACCCTGGTACACTCCCCTAACACTAATATAGGAGTGAAATACCATTGAAATGGGCGATTTTGAAAAAGCCTTCCTTGAGTAGCAGAGGGTAACCATTAGTGGGAAATCATCGGGATGGTGGCCAGTGACAAGCGGGGTCCCCCAGGGCTCTGTCCTGGGGCCGATCCTGTTTAATCTTTTCATCAATGACATGGAAGAAGGGGTGAACAGTCTGCTGATCAAATTCGCAGACGATACTAAAACTGGAGCAGTGGCCACAACTGAGAAGGTACTCCAGATCCAAAAGGATCTGGACAGGCTATGGAAGTGGGCAGGAGACAACAGGATGGCGTTCAATGTGGATAAGTGCAAGGTCTTGCACTTGGGGCATAGGAATAAGTGTCATAAGTACAGGTTAGGTGACAAGAGGCTGGAGAGCAGCACTTGTGAAAGGAACCTCGGGGTACTAGTTGACTGCAGGCTAAACATGAGTCAGCAGTGTGATGCGGTGGTCAAGAGGGCAAATGCCACCCTTGGTTGCATAGCCAGAAGTGTGGCTTCTAGATCAAGAGAGGTATTACTACCACTCTATATGACTCTGGTGTGCCCGCAACTGGAGTATTGTGCTCAGTTTTGGGCCCCTCATTACAGAAAGGATATAGCCAGGTTAGAATTAGTGCAGTGTAGGGCGGCCACAAGGTTGGTGGCCGGTTTGCAGGGGATGGGGTATGAGGTGAGACTGAGGGAACTGGGTCTCTTCAGCCTGGAGAAGAGGAGACTCAGAGGGGATATGTTGGCAACATACAGGTATGTGAGGAGATGTCACATGGAGATGTGTAGAGACCTGTTCTCCCCTGCAGAGGAAGGCAGGATGCACTCCAATGGAGCAAAGCTCAGGGAGCCAAGGTTCCATTTAGATGCCAGGAAGTACTTCCTGACAGTTAGGACCCTGAGGGTGTGGAATGAGCTTCCACGAGAGGTCGCTGAGGCCCCATCAGTAAGGGTGTTCAAAGATAGGCTTGACATGCACATGGCGGGCATGTCGTGAGTGGACCTGGCTGGTGCCAGGGGTCAGACTAGATGGCCCGGGAAGACCCTTCTAACTCGCTCTGTTTCTATGTTTCTGCACGTGAGGAGGCAGGGGGGCTCACCCCTTTTCCTGGGGCCTTCCACAGAGAAGGGCCGAAGATAACAGGGCAAGGCTGGGAATCTGTGTGGGGAGAGCAACTCACGAGAAGACAACAGCCAGGAGAGACGTGCAAACACACAGCTGTACGAGATTGCGGACAGAGGCAGGAACAACTGGGTTGGGTGGAGTGGTCCAGGAGAAGGGCGGATAAAGGAGGAAAGAGGGGGTGAGCAAAGGGAACGGAAGAGAGGAGAGAAAGCCGAGACACACATGTGGTTAGAGGAGAGTGGGCAAGGCGGTCACTGGCAGGTGAGCCAGCATAAACGGAGAGCGGAGGCTGGGGAGCTTTCTGGCGGGGCGACACTGTTTGTTGCCATACGACAGGAGAGAAGGGAGCCAGAGCAGGCCAGGCCAAGGCGCTACGGCAAGCGAGCCGGTGAAAGTGTAAAGAGGCAATAAAGACCCAGTGAGTGCACTGTCCTTCTGGTGTTGCTCTTCATGGAATATCAAGGAAGACGCAGCTTTAGCCGACACCCCTCTCCCAACACAGTCGTACTGCACAGCTCAACATTTCTGCCCATTCGAAACACATTCCAACCATCAATATCATGCCAGGACACCTTGTTTTTCTAACCCTAACCCAGTGATGGTGAACCTTTTAGAGACCAAGTGCCCCAACTGCAACCCAAAACCCACTTACTTATCGCAAAGTGCCAACACTACAATAAAACCTGAAAACTGAGGTTTTAGTTTAGAAAAAACACCCCACGGCCAGTCCAAGCAAATGTATATATATCCTTGGCAGTGCACTCACTGGCCATGCAAAATCTTGGATAAGACGCAGCTAATGAGTCCCAGCTTGTCATTGCCTGGCACCACTACTCCTTTCTGAGCATGCACACGGCCCCTGTGTGTGCTGTTATCCGATGCTCAGCTGCTGGGGCAATGCTGGGGTGACTTGGCTCGTGTGTCGACAGAGAGGGCTCTGAGTGCCTGCCATAGGTTCACCACCAGTGGTCTAGGCCATTCTTCAGGGACAACTGAGATGGATTCATGCAATTTGCTACTAAAATGTGACTGTGCAAAAGATTAAAACAATAGCAAATATTCCCTAAACAGTGGCCATCATCTGTGGGCAAACACCTTTCCTCTTCCTCATTCCCAATTTGTACGGTGAAGTGTAACCATTCTCTTTCCAATGTGCACGGTTACCCAATGTGTTCCAGTGATTATTCAGTACACCTTCCTCATATATGGTATTGCACTCCTGCCTCAAAGGGCCTTGGAATGCGGGCTGCATAAAGTGGGGTGCTGGTGATATAGCACAGAGGAAAGAGGGAGCCAGTCAGGCTGAAAGGAAAAAGGGATGGTGCTAGAGAACAGCAGAAGGCAGCAGGAGAGAGGAAGAGGAGAGCTGAAAGGGAAGATCTGGGAAACCAGTAGTGTGGAAGTGAAGAGAAAGGAGATAAAGTTGCCTTTTGCAAGAAGAATAAATTCCCGTAACAGAGACTGGCAACAAAAGACTGGAGAATTTGGACAGGCAAGTTTTGTCAGCCTAACTATACAAAACACTGTGCTTTACACTGAACTGTGGCTTGAAGATATAGTTACTCATATTTGATTTTCACAATAGTGTTATTTACCAAGCATTCCAGATTAACACTGTTAAATATTTGTTTGTCTCTGAAGAGACAGTAATCTGCCCCTCCTCATCCTACTTACAGAAACCTATTCATTAAATTTGTCCAGTACTTGCATCAGGAATTGCAGAAGGAAGTTGCCCAACATTTCATCCCACAGTTTTACTGTGTTCTCCAGTTACGGGATGTTATTTTCCTGATAAATTTCAGCAGGACAGGAAGGAAAATACTGTATTTATGGGACTGCTGAGAATTTTTTAAAAGAACAAAATAAATTGGTGGGTGAGAGAAAGCAAGAAATACAAGACAACATGTGTCCTGTTTCATAACAGTCACTCAACAAAACTTGAAACTTTTAAGATAGTAGTTTAACCTCTCCTGATTTTGTAGATTTCTGGAGAGATTAATTAACTGTAGAGTGTTATAAAGTGGGCAATTTTCAGTCTTGCATGTGTGAAACAATGTGTCTGGCTCGGTTAGGTAAATCAAGTGTTACTTCTGCATTCCAAGGGAGTTCAGTTCCTGAACTGATGACCCATATTCAGAAATGATCCCCTGTCTCCTGGAAACAGAACCTCAGATGGGTTTGCTGCTGTGTGAACATCTCGAAGGCAAATTGTAGTCAAGAATACATTTTCAGTAGAACTTTGAGAATCCAGCCAGAAATTAGAGTGGACTAAATCATCTTCACAAAAGCAAAGCAAGCAACAGAACGCTGGGTTTTGTTTTGTTTTGTTTTTTGGAGGCGGCACTACAGTGACAACTTGAGATCTATTATGCAACAGTTTGTACAGCATCAACCCCGTTTGTACATGGGACTGTCATAGCTTGTGTCACATGCGCAGCTGCAAACACTCACCGGGCATCACTCCTTTGATATCGCATTCTGTGCTTGTCCTGTTCCTGTGAGTTAAGTGAAGTATAAGCTTCTTGGCAGCTTCAAACTGTTGTGTGGCCATAAGCCACCGAAGAGACTCTGGAAAAATACTTCAAAGATGGAGAATGTGTTAGTGGAGACCTCCAAAAGCTGACGCATGTCATATATAAACTACTTTAATTTCTGTTAGTGCCATATCACAGCTGACATGCACATTTTCGAAACAAATCAGGCATACCCTTGGTCATTTAGTATATTTCATTTTAAGTGCAGGAACTAATATTGTTTTCTGGTAACAACTTGGAAACTTGGTAAAAGTTGCAATCACCTGCCAAGCATTGCGAGCGCAATCTGGAAGTGCTTCAGTGCTGTGTACTGACATGAATGGTTCCCTGGGAGCAGCTGGCCCAGTTCCCCCTCCATGGTTTGTGTGCAATCCCTTCCCTCACTAATCCCACTCTTCTCAATTGGGCCAGTCAAAGGTCTTGGTATTTTCTTCTATGCTCCCCCTATGGAAGGAATCCCCACACCGGACATCCAGCAGGGATTCTGTTACATGTCACTTGTCCTCCTACTCTTGCTGAAGAAGCAAGAAAGGGACTCGAAGGTGTTTGCAAGGCCCAGAAAGGTACCCTGTGTCTCAGTACCCTGTCCAAAAGAGTAATTTCTAGAATCCTTTGGAGAAAGCCACAACACTGGTATAATGTCAAATTAAAGATGTAAATGTGCCCAGCAGATATTCCAAAAGTCTGCCCAAAGGTTTCTATGGCTGAAATCTCTATAGTTTGAGAAGTGAATGGAAATTGCAGTGGCGTGGACAGAAGATCCATCCCTATTCACATAATCCTTATGTGTTTGTAGATCAGTGCCACAAGTCTGTATGTGGCCAGTCCTATGGGGCAGGGGAATAGTCTTGGAGATAAAGATATATTAGACTTAAGTCTATATTTAATGCCACTTCCTTGTCCTCCCAGATATTTATTCACTGCCAATCAATCCACATGGACAATGAGGTGAGCAATGTGATTTATCAGCAGTGTTAGGACTGGGCAACATACAACCCAAAAAGAGGGGGGAGAGTGCTGAATTTGCATAAATAGTGGGAGGAATGGAACAAAGGGAGAGAGATGGAGGAAAGACAGGAGAAAGAGAAACTTCCAGAGCAATTTCTTTAAGAAATGTAATGTCCTTTGAATATGTAGCTATGCATGATAACTGGTCACTGCACTTCAGAAAATTGCAAGCTTGAACTAACCTAAAATTATCTTGATTTTGTTGTTATTTCTTTCCATGGGAACAGACATTTGTTTCCTGACAAGCTTAACATACAAGACAGATACTCACATCTTTCTCGGCAGAACTTAATAGTTTACACCAGGAACAAAAAAGCACTGACGGGGGCCAGGGAAGGGGGCTGAAGGGGGAAGGAATGGCTTGCTGTGTGTGCGTGTAAGCTGCAATAGACATACTAACAGAAACTTTTTGTTTAAAAACAGGCATTTTTTACATTTCCCCCTTTAAAAAAAGATTTTGAAAGGCAAAATAAAATGGACTGGCTGCTCTTTCAGACAAAATTTGTTAGAAACAGATTCACTTCATGTATGTATGCAATGGTCCTAATTCTCCAGCCGAAGCAAAGAAGCAACAGTTGTACCCACTTATAAAATCTGCCAGGTACAAGTACTGAATGACTACAATATCTACACCAGTGATTTGGGTTTTTTCTTATTGTTGCTCTTTTTAAACTAGTCTGATTGTTATAAATCTTGGAAACTGCAGTTGGTCTAACTGCTGAGAGTCACAGGCTCTTCAAGCAGAACTACCCATCTCTCAGTGGTAATGTTTCCTTAGGAGATAATTATTCACGATCACCATCATCATTACACTGCATTTATATCTCCTGTTGTGAGGAGTCCAAGGTGGCTTAAATAGCTCCCATTTTGTCCTCACAGCAACAGAAGGCTGCGCAGAGAGTCTGTGACTGGCCCAAGTCACTCAGTCAGCTTCATGACTGATTGGGGACTAGAACCAGATCTTCTGGGTCCCCATTCCAGTACGCAAACCACTACACTACACAGGCTCACTGTGAAAGACTATTGGGATCATCATGTTAGATCAGGTGGTTCTTCTGAAATTTATGCCAATTTGCTATTTTATGATTTGAGTTAAAGAAAGGAAAAAACTGTGCTTACCATTCAGGCAGATTACCAGAATACCCTAAGGGCCAAAGTAGATGTTATCTTGGTAAATACAGGTAAGCAACCTTACTTAACCCTCCAACTAGCATTCTTTGAGTGGTCATCTGTGCATTCACACACATAGGCTCTGCATCTGTGCAGGGCCTGTTGTCGGGAAGTTTTTCCTAGCAAAACTTGTTTTGGCAGAAGCCCCTCCCCTCACTCACTCTGGTGCATCTAGGAGGTGCTCCTGCCATTTTCCCCCAGTTCTCACAAGTCCAACATTGTGGCCTCGGAACTGCGGAGGAAGGCCAGTAAATGGCCACCCCATGCCATCCTGATATGGAACTGAAGGAAAAAAACTACAGAGCCAAAGCTGTTAACACCAGCATGGGGTCAGTGGGCGGGGTTGTGTGAATGCACAGATGACCACTTGAAGAATGTCAGTTACACGTAAGCAACCTTACTTTCGTCTTTGTGGTCTCTGTGTATCACACAAATGGGTGGCTAGTGAGCTTATCTCAAAATGAAGGTGGGCAGGTGTCACCAGTGGAGGACTGTGGACCATTGGCTGAAAGAGTAATCTTGCCTGGTGTGGACATCAAGCCAGTAGGTCAATGGGGTGGACCACATTGCTGCTCTGTGGAGATCATGCAGCAGGATGCTAGCATGCAGTGCTGAAGACATTACCATCACTCTGGTAGTAAGCATCCTGGGTTGCTCAGGGAGGCTCAGTCCAGACACTGGTAGGCCAGTTAGATGGTCTTGACAATCCAGTGCATAAATCATTGAGGGCTGATCAACTCACCTCTGGACCATCCGCCATATGAAGCAAAGAATCTCTGGAACTGGCAGAAGGACTGATAGAATGTCAATGCCCTGCACATGTCCAGGGTATGCAGGGACAACTCTATTGGGTTGGACAGTGCTGGGAAGAATGCTAGCAAAACAATGTCCTGGTTCAAGTGGAAGTGTGACATGACCTTTGGGAGGAACATCTGGTTGAGCCACAGAACCACCATGTCTCTATGAAAAGTGAGGAATGATGAATTGATGTGCTAAGAGCAAAGTTCACTTGCCTGCCTGGCTGAAGGGACTGCCACCAGAAATGCAACCCTCCATGAAAGGAGGCATAAGTCCACAATGGTCAAGAGCTCAAAAGTGGACTTTGTTAAGAGCCTGTAGGACCACCTGCAAACTCTGTCCTGGCATGAAGGAATGAGGGTGTGGGACCAGGTCATGCAGAACTCTCAGAGATCAACAGGACAATGGATGTCAGAACACTAAGAAGTCATCAACTGTCCCATGGAATGACAAGATCACCACCAGATATACTTCAATGGAGGATGGTTTCAGGCCTCTGGAGTACAGTGTGTGAAGGAAGCTGAGGATCTGATGGATGGATGCCCAAACAAGAGGCGAAGGCTTCCTCTTGGGCAAAGTCTGCAAAAGTTTCATTTTGCTGTGTAGGAATGCCTCATGTTTGGTTGGTTGCAGGGGCACATATAAGATCATGGGAAGGAAGGTGCCTCCTGATTTAAGGTGCCTCCCGATTTACGGGCCAATGCACTTTGCCATAAAATTGATGGTGTTGATGACTGGGCATAAGATCATTCCTCAGTCCTGGGAGAGGATGTCTGGTCTTGATGGGAGCTGGATGAAGTTGTGTTTGGGCAGGTAGAGGAGATGGGTGAACTATGGGAGAGGGGAGAAGCTGCCAGTGAGGTGGACGGGTGATCCGGTGGCACCACCATAGCCGAGTTGATGGTCTGAGGAGTACGGCTTCAGAGTTCAGCTCTGAGTTGACCTACTTTATTTTTTCAGGTCTGCTACATGAATGCCTGGCAGTGTGGGCTGAAATCCAAATGGTGGTCCTCTCCAAGATGGAAGAGGCACAAGTGCCTGTCTGCAGAAGGCAAGTGACTGCCATGGTGGATGCACTTCCTGAACAGCACTTTGAGTGCCATCGGCGAAGACAGAAAAATAGAGAAAAATGGCAAAGAGGAATCCAAAAAAGAGACGCTGGGAGAGGGGGAGTTAGATTTTTTTTAATTTAGAAAAGGTTTTTTGGAATAAAGCACAGTTTTTGAAAATAAGGATTGAGAATGAAGCAATGAGTGCAACAAGAAGAGAAAGAGATCAATAGAAGATTGGAGACAGATTGAAGAAGAGAACAATACTAATGCTGGAAGTCGCAGAGAAGACCCAAGGCACCCAAACGGCAGTCAGAGAGAGTTGGGGAAAATGGCAGAAAGCCCTCCCAGATAAACGAGGTAGGGGGAGGGAAGGGGCTCCTGCAGAATGAGTTTAGCTGGAAAATCTTCCCGACAACAGGTGCACAGCCCATATGTGTGATGCCCAGAGACAACGGAGCAGAACAGTCCTTCTTTGCTGAGAAAAAGGGAAATGTGGAGGCACTTATACAGGAGGGTGGGGTTCTTGTGTTCAGTGCTTGCTGAATCCCATGCCCTACCTCCCATCCCATTGTGTTGTAAGCCGCCCCGAGGTTTCGGCAAGGGGCGGCATAGAAATGTTATAATAATAATAATAATAATAATAATAATAATAATAATCCTACTTTGCAGCCTGCCTGGGAACAAAAGCCAATTAATTAGAAAGAACATGGCTCTCTGCTGGAGGAAACGGGCAGAATAGAAGCATTAAGCACCCTTTTATTATTTATTTATTTATTTAGAGTTTTTGTATGCCGTCCCATTGCTTAACACCTCCACTTATCCACTGTTCCCCCCATGCAAATACTCCAACCCACACATTCATGCTGCAAAGTAAGAATAGGAACCCCACAGTTCCCTTTCAACACCTGGGCTCCAAATGTCCAGGCTTATTAATAAATACTGTTTAAAAATTAGGAACTGTAGATACTTACAACCAATACAGTAGCATCATCAGGAAAGGACAGATGATGACAGCCTGAAGAATTTGCCACTCCCTGCAGAGTACAGCCAAACCTGGCATGAGGAACTGCCCTGCCATTGCCACAAAGCTCGCCACCATTGTGATCATGAAGCGGTGGTCAGGAGGACAGAGCTCTATCCCTGAAAAGTTAAAAAGAGAGGAACATGAAATAAATAACGATGGGAACAAAACAGATTAAATGGTATTCCTTTATTTACTTGCAAGTGGTTGTAAAATTATAAATTCAGACATCCAATGGGTATCGAGTAGGATATCTATCACACAGCAAAAGTACACTCTTCAGAGAGCTTTTCCACTCTTCCCTCTACTCACTTGTGTATAGTGTGACAAGCAAGTGAAGGATACAACTGTAAGGGGTTTACTGTCAAGTCTGCAGGTCAGGAAGTTGGCCCAAGGCCAGCTTCAACATACCTGGCTTGAAGGTCTTAGTGCCAGTCTTAGAAGAGCTTTATTTCCACCAATGGGTGGAAACGTGCACAACACACGGGAAACTACAAAACAATTGGTGGTTGGGGGAAAGAGTGAGAGGATTCTGCATCCTTGCCATAGGCTATAACAAGGAACACTAGGCAGAAATATTCACAAAGCAGCACTTTCAAGTGACACAGCAAACAATGCAACATCAGCAAAGATACTAGAAAAGAAAATGTACAGTCACACTGCCAGTCAGTATAGTCAATACAAAGCTGGGTAAGCCAATGGACTGACTTAGTATAAGGTGAATTTCTCTACTCTGTGTTCATACATGGCAATCTACCATATGGATTTCGAAATGAGAATGATGTAGTTTACCATCACAAAAGCAAACAGAAGTAAGAAATAAACAGAAAGCAAAGAGAAGTCAGATGAAAACAACTCCATTTTCCATTTTGAGGACTACCACAACACTCAAGAGAACTTGGTTTTTGTTCCCTACATTCCAAGGCAGACTTTTTTCTTATATGTTTAGTAACTGTTGTCTTTTCCATTAATTTAGCAGAGACATACATATGAACACTGTTGTGGTATACTGGTTCCTGTGTTGAACTGGGATTCAGGACATCCAAGTTCTAGTCTCTGCTCAGCCATGAAACTCATGAAGCTCTGGGTCAGTTCCTGATGGTCTAATCAACACAATGGAAAGTGGGAACCATTTGAGACACCTTAAGCTCCTTGCAAGAGTAAGAAAAGAGAGATATAGATATAATAAGTAACAAATTCACTTTTATGTGGGAAATTAAGTAGAGCCCTTTAGCCCAGACTGTTTAACTTCAAATAAGCAATCTTCTTCCTCAAACTGTACATAGAAAACAGCATATTTCCATGTGAAAGGCTTAAGAACAGGCAGAAGAGCAGACCAGAGATCCTACTCCTGGTGAACTTTCATGAAAATAGAATTGCAAGCAAGTAACATTACACTTGAGGGTAATCTAACTGAAAGCCTCTTGGAAATAAGCATTCTCAACATTTAGAACTAAGCATTCAGAATAAGCATTCTATACAAGCGCATACATTTTATTTATTTATTAGTTTATAAAATCTGTATGCCATCCAATTACTAATGTCTCTGGATGGCTAACAGCATAAATAAATTGATGACCCACTCTGACTGCAAATTAATAAAATACAATAATAAAATTCAATATTAAAACATATTAAAATATTGATTAAATAAAAAGGTCTTAACCTGGCGCCAAAAAACATATAATGATGGTGCCAGGTGGGGCGCCACCCCAGAGAAGGCGCTCCTCTAGGTACTCTGTCTCCTAACATCTTTCACAGAGGGTTCCCGGAGGAGGGCTTCTGTTGCCCATCTCAGGGTGCGGGAGGGCAAATAGGGGAAAAGGCGTTCCTTTAGGCATCCTGGTCCCAAGCCGTTATAAAGAAACAGGTGTTTCTCCTTTCCTAATATTCAAACCAGAAAGTCATTACAGAGACAGCAGACTCAGAGCAAACAGACCTCATAGGACATTTCAGGGAAAATACAGCAAATTGCACAAGAATACGTAACTGCCTTACTTTCTGACTGTTTCAATTGCATGATTGCAACCAGGTTTTAGAGATTTCTTAAACAGTTACTATAATTTCATCAGCTGAATGATGGAAATCCAGCCATTCACCATGAATCTGGAGGGCTGGCTGCATAGTGGTCGCTGCTATCCACGGTTTCAGGCATCTACGGGGAGGGGGGCGGGGGTTGGAACCTAACCCCTGTGGATATGAGGTCTTACTGTAGACCCATTATAATTAACAGAAATTAAGCCATGATTAACCAAAAACCTGTTTATTTTGGTGGATCTATTCTAAGTATGACTAAGTCTGGCTTCAGCCCAAAATTTAGTTTAAATAGTTTATCTATAGGTCAAAAGGAAATTATGGAACAGAAAAAGACTTCAGACTTATTTATAGCAAGCTTAGGCAGATTTAAAAAAATATACTGGCTCTGGGAGGTGAATGTGAGCTAATTATTATACAAAGTCCCCCAGATCAGCACAGGTATTAGTTCTTTACTAGTTCTAAAGTTTCATTTCCAGCCACTTTTTCATTCTTACAACTAATACTTGTTATTTTTAGCAGCAAGCTACCAACTCCACCCCCATGTCAAATAAGTTATCAAAGATACCTACATCAGACATGTCTGGGGCTGGTTTATTCTAAGATGAAATAATTTTCAAGCTATCAAGCACATATTTTGCACACCTCAAAGGCATTACCATTCCTATATATGTGTATATATCTATAAGAGGTTCTGAATACGGATTATAAACGGGAGCTTTGCAATTTTGTACTGAAAAGTCAGTTCTCTGAATTTTTTCATCTTGAATAGTTAATGCAAATGAAATGTAAAACTCTTCGACACAGCTGAAAACTTCGGGCCCCATCAATTTATTCACTGTTGAATTCAGTTCTTTCTACATTCTGTTGAGTGGCTGATTGCTTCCTCTGCCCTGATCTCCTACCAGCTTTGATTCATCTCACACCATGCTATTCCTATTTCCCATAGTGTGTAGTTGTTAGTCCCGAAGTAGTGTCTGACCCATCGCGACCCCATGGACAACATTCCTCCAGGACTTCCTGTCTTCCACCATCCCCTGGAGTCCACTTAAGCTCATACCAAGTGCTTCAAGTGACTCCATCTAGCCACCTCATTCTTTGCCGTCCCCTTCTTCTTTTGCCATCTATTGTTCCCAGCATTAGGCTCTTCTCCAGGGAGTCCTTCCTTCTCATTAGGTGGCCAAAGTATTTGAGTTTCATCTTCAGTATCTGGCCTTCTAAAGAGCAGTCAGGGACTGACCGGTTTGATCGCCTTGCGGTCCGAGGGACCCGCAGGAGTCTCCTCCAGCACCACAATTCAAAGGCCTCAATTCTTCGGTGCTCAGCCTTCCTTATGGTCCAGCTTTCACAGCCATACACTGCAACTGGGAAAACCATAGCCTTGACTAGACGCACTTTTGTTGGCAGAGTGATGTATCTGCTTTTTAGTATGCTGTCTAGATTTGCCACAGCTTTCCTCTCCAGGAGCAAGCGTCTTTTAATTTCTTGGTTGCAGTTCCGATCTGCGGTGATCTTGGAGCCCAGGAAAATAAAATCTGTCACTACCTCCATTTCTTCCCCATCTATTTGCCAGGAAGTGAGAGGACCGGATGCCATGATCTTAGTTTTCTTAATGTTGGGTTTCAAGCCAGCTTTTGCACTCTTCTCCTTCACCCGCATCAAGAGGCTCTTTAGTTCCTCTTCACTTTCTGCCATGAGCGTGGTATCATCTGCTTATCTGAGGTTGTTGATATTTCTCCCAGCAATCATAATTCCAACTGCTGATTCATCTAGGCCCGCCTTTCTCATGATGTGCTCTGCATGTAAGTTAAATAGGCAGGGTGACAGTATACAGCCTTGCCAAACTCCTTTCTCAATTTTGAACCAATCAGTGGTTCTGTGTCCAGTTCTCACTGTTGCTTCCTGACCCACATATAGGTTTCTCAAGAGACAAATAAGATGGTCTGGTACTCCCATCTCTTTAAGAACTTGTCACAATTGGTTGTGATCCACACAATCAAAGGCTTTAGCATAGTCAATGAAGCAGAAGTAGATGTTTTTCTGGAACTCCCTAGCTTTCTCCATGATCCAGCGTATGTTGGCAATTTGATAGTGTATAGTCCCCCAAAATTAGAGAGAGTGGAACTATCTGTGGGGCAGACATGCAGCTCCACTAATCAACAGAACAAGCAGAAGTACCTCCAAAAGTAGCAGGCTGGCTTACCATATTTTGGGGTAAGTGAATTAAATATACATTGCCAACTAAAAAGTAGGGATGGTAGAGTCCTATCAAGTTCAAAATCCCCTCTTTGAGACTCTGCAGATTATGCTTCCAAGATCTTTCTATTCTATACTCATGTTCTTTTTTCTGCCTTATGATGTGGCATAGGGGTGGGGTTCTTCTAGAATATAATTTTTATCATGCAACCATCACAACAAAAGCTCTGTCTGGAAATACCCTAACATTCAGAGAGAAGATAGGAAGGAATGAGAATAAATAGGCCTCAAATGGCTGGGAACAGTGTTTCACTTCCAGGAGACTGTCTGGCTCTACTGATCTGCTCTTATGACAATTTAAATACTGATTACTTCAAGTTGGGTGCAGACCCAGGGCACAGTTATACACATGCTCAGGGTTAGGTTCTGTAACTTCCATCATGCCATCAACCATCCATGCTGGGAGTTGTAAGGTTTTTCTCTGTTTCAACATGCGCAGGATTGCTGCTTTGGTTATATTTAGAGTAAACCCACTGGAGTCAAATGGTTCAATGGTATGACTAAATCTCGACTCAACCCATATTCTACATCAGGGGTGGGCAATTAATTTTCCTGTGGGGCTACATGAGAAACTTTGACAGTTGTTAAGGGCCGGACCAATACACTTACAGTTCTACTCAATATATATCTCTATAAAAACAGTAAATGAAACATTACAATGATACAATGAAAATGTGGAGCACAGAACAACACTATGTAATGAATATTCACAAAAACATTAACATTAACATTACATGAAAAGCAAGAAATCCAATTCAATTTAGCAGATCCTTCAAAATAAAAGCAGTGCAGTTGTATTGCTTGCATCTATATTACGACAATATATATT